TGTGTGTGTGTGTGTGTGTGCGTGCGCGCGCATTTTTAGGTGCTAATATGTATATGCTCTCATTTGTATTTGTTTTCACACTCTTCTTGTGTTTTTTTCCCCCCTTGACTCTGCCAATCATGTTGTATGTCATGTGATCTCATTAGTAACTGAGTGAATACACGTCCCTGTTTTTGTTTAAATAAAGTGCTTATGCCAGTCAGTTCGGCTGGAGAGAGAAAATTAAAAACGTATGTCGTGTGTTACTTACACGTGAGAAAGTCTTAATTTCCACCACTGAGCCACAGGAGGCAGCTGAACCCAATAGTCAGATGCATTCTTAAATTAACTCAGAAGAGTTTAACAAAAAAAACAGAAAAGTTTCCTTAATGAAAGCCACAAAATAGAAAAATCTTCAGTCCAAAACGGATCAAAAAGGAGAATAATAAATCTCTAAAACAAAAACTCAGGAAAAAGACAAAACAGCCAAATTAAACACAGGGAAACAATCCAAAAAAATCTTTCAAAGTATAGTTCTTTGAACTAGCGCAGACTTACGGCAGCAACTGGCTTAGGAACCACAATAACCAAGCAAAGACACCAAGGAAGTGACCAGCTTAAATACACAGCCCAGAACGAGGCACATGTGAAAACAATAGCACTGATTACAAGAGGCACAACATTGACACGAGAGTACCATAGGGGTCTCTAGTGGCAAAAATGAGACATTACAAAGCAAAAACTCTGACAGTCCTTCTGCAAACCATTCCTATGGCCACGTCCTGTTCCATCTAGCAGGAATTTTTTCCCCCCTGGGGGCCATTTTTTCCCCCTGACGCACCCTGATCTGCAGGCGTCCGTGACGCCACGCATGGGATGGAACCTGTGGTTTCAACCAGCGCTGAAGGGGGCGTATACAAAGCAGACCCAACTGTAGCGCTGGAGATGCCACCGCCATGAGGCCCAGCATCCTCTGAAACACTTTGAGGGTGAGTGGTACCCATTGGAAGCCTGACTCGCTCTGAGCTGGGTGATCCGTTTCTACGGCTCATATCGCCAGCAAATTCATCACCTCTGAGTGCAGGACGTGTGCATCTTTGCTCTAACTGAGGTGGGAACCACGGAGTTGAATCGTGGGGTATTCGAGCGAATTGCAGTGAATAACCTTATTGTCTCCAACACCCAATTTGGCACTACAGGGATGGCCTGTCAGGCCTCAGCCCGTGTGACAAGGGGTTGGATTAAATTGAGAAGCTGGTCACCGTATGGGGACCCCACACTCAGAAGAGGAAATTTGCTTTTCACTGAAAAATGCTTTCAGAAAATGCTTTGCCAGACTTAATGCTCTCATAGCAGAGCAGTCAGCCCCTGTGCACGCTGCCTCGGCGTGGGCATGGCCCAGACGCGTCCAATTTGAAGCTGTCAGTGATAATAATCATCCGTGACAGCGTTCTCTTTTAATCTGCCTAAAAAAGATCAAACCGCTCATTAGAACAGGAGTTTTGATGATCTTTATGTGTAAAACTCAGGCAGATCAAAAATGCTGCGCGCATTCTCTCAAATCCGCTCGTAGCGGATGAGGAGAGGGGCAGGGCCGTCTTTATTCAAGAAGGCGAGCTGCGAGCAAAGCAGAGCGAGACATGAGCTCTGAATGTAAGAGCGGTCTGTCTCAGCAGCGCAGCCTCAGCGTGGGCGTGACCCAGGCAAGAGGCGCGTTCAAATACAGAGCTGTCAGCGATATTTAATCATTGGTGACAGCGTTCTGCTCCAAACCGCCCAGGTGAATTCAACCACTCGACAATGAGGGGAGGCGATCCTCTCATGTAAACACACTGGCAGATCAAAGAGCTGCGTGGAGAGTGATGCAAGCGGGGGCCTTGCCGGCATTAAATCACTCAAGCCTGATCGATCATACCCACGAGTTTGGCATTTCAGCCTCTGAGTAACTGGGAGGAGAGAAACACAAGAGCGGGGGAGGCGGGGCTCAGCGACGGACACGCAATGCGAAGCTGCCCGCGTTTCACTTTGATCTGCCTGGGAGGATTAAGCTGCTCATATACAGATTGCGTTCTTATTGCTCTTCTGCATCGTTCAAGTTTCCCTGCACGAGCCACGCTCTTTTAGGGCTTACCTGCTAGAAATAAGCTCTTTCAGAATCGCCGGATGGTGGCAGGGGAAATGGACTGGAACTGCTGCGTTGCTGGAGCGGCGGAGAAGCCGATTCCAGCTGCGAAGGCGTGTCAAACGGCGAGTGCTTCGGATCAGCTTGAGACGTAGAGTTGTCGCTGAAGGAGAAAAATCTGAGAATCCTGTGGCGAGCACCCGCTTATATAGCCAGATGCCCCGCCCATTCTGGCGGGCTTTGTCGCCATAGGCTCCTGCAGCTT